AGAAAAATCAAAACGTAATTATTTTTTTCGGAGCGGTGAGCTTCCCCTTAAGCGCTGGAATAGGCTTTTGAGGTTTTTACAAAAATTTTGTGAGTTTCCAAAAGAGTTTGTAACTCGGGTTTAATTTAAAAACATTATTTTCAAAAGTTTTGTTCCTCAGGGCAGAGAATCACTTTTTAATTTGTTTTTGCAAATCCCGCCAGATAACTTTCATGGCAGGATCGCGTGTTCTTTGATATTGCCTCCTACGGACATTTTTAATACGGATCAAGAGCTGAAGATCGTCGTCTATTAAAATTGAATCGAATTTAACCTCGCATTTTGGTACTGAGGCAGCTCTTGCTTCAACTAAAGAAGTAGTCAGAGATTCAAGAGCATAATTAATTTCATCTTTGGTTTGCAAAGGAATGTTTGGATCAAAGTTATATTCCATAAATGTTCGATATTGCTCCCAATCAGCTCTATGGTTACTTTCAATTGCGATTAGAAATTATTTCTTGAGATATTTCAAAACTTACTGGAAGGTGATCGGAACCGAAGTCAGCATGGGTAACCAATTGGCTACAAAGTTGGCATGAATCAGTTAAGACCAAATCAATAGTTGAGGGATTTCTTGCTGAAGAAAAGCATGTTGGGCTGTTTGGATATTGAATAGTGTAATAACCTGCAGAACAATCATCAAACAGAATATTACCATTGGAATTGCTTTGAGCATTATTCCATGAGCGGTGTTTTGCATAATGAAGAATTTACACTCAAAGATAAATTAAATCAAAAAAGCTTAAAATGTATGCAGATTCCCGCTTCACCTTATTGAGTCCGAGCCATGATTACTTTGGCAGTACCTAGTCATGCATGAATAAATTCGAAATAATCTTTCCACTATTAAATTTTACTATTTTTGAATATTAATATATAGGGTTAAATACCCCATTTCCGGCCTATTAAGCATAAGACGCACTTAGTCTTTCTTAATCTAGATCAGTTTAGCACCAAACGGAATGTTATTATTACTGATGGCTTCCAAATTTATTTGCCTTTCCGTACGTACCAAAAGATTTGAAAACGAGAAACCAAACGTTGAGATATTGTCAAAAGTCCAACACTGCTTCTTGACGCCAAACTCGGCCTACGGATTTTAAACTCAGCCTAACGCATTGAAACGCAATTGAAACGCCAATGAATTCACTTCGGCCTATCGTATGAAGATAAAAATTGATTCGGTGGGAGCGCTTCTTTTGTTTTTGGGAATAATGGGTGCAAACTTTCATACCACGCGTTCTCATTGACTTCGTTCGGTAGCTTATTAACTAAAGTATCGTACCAAACGCATAATTGACTTGTTAACTCTGAAATCATGGATTTATTTGAAGTTTTCTGCTCGATAGGCCCAAAATGGGCGATTAGGCCGAAGTAGTGCTCTACCCTAATCAAAAAAGATCAAAATTCAATCAAAAATTATTAAAATAGTATCAAAAATGATTAAAATTTATTCTATAAGGAGTAATTTTTTCTAATCAACCATGATTAAACTGGGTATAGCATCAGATGATTATTTTTTAGAAAAAGAGTATTAATTTTGAATCATTCGATATGATTAAACTGTGTTTAATGTAGTTGAAGATGCTAATTTCAAATAACAGACTAAAGTGGTAATTTTTATACGATAGTTGATAGTTCCGTTAGAGTACGGCAGTGTGAAAATTGCTTATAGAAAGTAGATAGCGAGCTAGGACAACTTTTAAGGAAGGTACAAATCGGTTTTTCATCTCTCTTTACCAAACTCCCCATTTGGAGAGGGATGGTGAGGGGTGTCCCCCCCCCCCCGCCACCACTGGTGTTTAATGTTAAATTGATGAAATTTCAAGCAAAATGGGAATAGTTTAATTTATCAGCGTAGACCTATGACGGGTAAGTTTCTGAAGGTCACCCTTGAGAAAATTCTTCTGCTGGCCTACGCATTGGAATGGCAAATAGACAGCTATAAACGTAAGTTGTCCAAATTTTGTTTCAACAGAAACTCGTCTATGAACAATTATGGCAACGCCACCACAGGCTCCATCCAGACGATCGTTTCTATAAATGAAATAATTTGCGTTCCTTTTAACCTTATGGTCAGATTTAAGGAACGTTTCAGTTATAACGGCAATATGCACGTTATGAACTCTCAAAAAGTTAAATAGCTCGTCTTCATTATGTTTAAGAGATCAAGCATTCCAATTTAAAATATTTAATGAATTAAAATCCATTACTGAATTTCAAAGTCATGACAATATTGTTCGCAAATTTTACTCCAGTTTGAATAGCATCAAACATGGAGTTAGATTTAAGCAAATCAGTAATCATATAAATTAATGATTTCTGTAAAAAATCCATTCCATGCTTCCTAAGTCAAAATTTTCAAAATTTCCGTTAGAATTACGTTGGTTAGTAATTTGACTATATGTTTTAGTATTACTTCTGCGTGAAGTCAACGATTTACATAGTTGAAGATGCTAATTTCAAATAACAGACTGTAGTGGTAATTTTTATACGATAGATGGAGTAGATGAAAGTATAGAGTTTGATAGTTCCGTTAGAGTACGGCAGTGTGAAAATTGCATATAGATAGTAGAATAGCGAGCTAGGACAACTGCGGTAAAAAATCGGTAGAACTGTTTCAAACACATCGTTGGTACTTGAGCGGTCGGTTTTCATCTCTTTTTGCCAGTGGTGGCGGGGGAGGGACACCCCTCACCATCCCTCTCCAAAGGGGGAGTTTGGTAAAGAGAGATGAAAAAACCGATTTGTACCTTCCTTAAAAGTTGTCCTAGCTCGCTATTCTACTAGCTATATGCAATTTTCACACTGCCGTACTCTAACGGAACTATCAAACTCTATACTTTCATCTACTCCATCTATCGTATAAAAATTACCACTACAGTCTGTTATTTGAAATTAGCATCTTCAACTATGTTGGTTAGTATTTTGATTTCTACCCCTTGCCATAGCAGCATAGGTAGCTCTATTAACTCGCTGAACATTGTTAGCAGCGAGGGGAGTAGGTATAGAAGAAGAATTTGAAGCAGGGGTGATATTTGTACCCACGGGTACGAATGTAGAATTTGTTCGTCGCTGACCGTTGTTAACAGCAGAGGAATGTGTACTCATCGGAAACGTGGAACGTTTCCTATCTGTCGATTAGAACGAGATTGAAGGATCGCTTTGCGAGTCCCAAAAATAGTTCACTAGACTTGAAGTGAACTAAATAGAAATCCCGTTGCGCGAATCGCCAGGACGGGATTTCATTTTCATTTTGATTACTTGGAGTGGGACAACTCCAAGTATGCTGATGAATGTGGACGTCTTAGAGGAATACCTGTATAATGAGAGAGAGAAGGATTAGCAATTTCCATTTAATTCCACTACACACTAATCCAGGCCTCCATCGTTCGGTAAATTTTGAACTACAGAACTGTTCGGCAAAAGTTTAAAAATCAGTGAAAAATCCAATTATTAGAAAATTTATTCGAAACTTGTACAGAATTTGTTCGGTTTACCCCATTTATTGATGAAAAATAAAATTTATAAATTTTCTTGATTTCTCACGTGTAACGGTCATTTGAAAATTTTACCGACTTGTTCTGCTGTTCAAAAACCCCGTAAATTCCTACCGACTTCGGTGATCTGAATTAAGTGTGTACCTTATTTGCTTATCCTTAACATCTAGTCGAGTATTAGTACAAGACACTGAAGAAGTCTGCACATTGTAGACGAAATACGCGTATCTGTCAAGGATAAGCAAATAAGGTAGTGGAATTAAATGGAAATTACTAATCCTTCTCTCTCTCTCTCTCATTATAAACTCCAAGTAATTTTGCGAGTTCATCTTTGATCTGATCCAGGGATTCACCACTGGGCAGTTCTTTCATGACAACCTTGAACACACGTTCAGTTTTGGTGTCGTAAGTTAAAAAAAATATGCTGCTTCTCAGTAAGATACTTGAGAAGACATTTGAATCCGTCCAAGGTTTCAGCCAATACACGGCATTCACCCCGACGGCCAATTTGCAGTGAAAACTTATGTTTCACGAAGTTCAAGAGTTCCGCGCGCAGCATGGGATATCCGTTTTACCATCCCGTATCGTCTCCATCCGTATCAAGTCTGAACGATTTTGTTCAACCTTACAAAAGCATGGCCCACAATCTAGTTCAGAAACGTTTCACCGATACCGTCATTGCTAGATCCTGAGAAAATGAAAAAAAAAAATATTAATCGTCTAGAAACAAACAATAACCAATGCTAGATTAAGGATAAAAAGTGAACCGAATGAATTACTGACTAAAACAAATGTATCAAATAAGGATCACTTACTTAGTATGGAAACCCCTAGACCAGCGCTGCCCAACGTGCGACCCACGGGCCAGATGTGGTTTCTGGATCGCAAAATGATATCGTACTAGTTCAATTTTATTTATTATTATGAATTTTTGCCCAGAATGATTGAGAAATAAACCAAATGCAGCTTGAAACATGTTCATCGAACATACACATGTGTTCAATATAATAGCAGCGCATGCCGATTTCCATACAAAATGGTCAACAAGTTGTAACTTTGTTCTCTTAACAACTTTACCTAGTGTCTCACTTTCCAACAGGTGCTTCCAAAAATTTGATATTTTGTAATCGTAATATTGAAAATATTTGTAGTTCTGTGGCGAACGTTTCAGCTCAATTGATCATAAGTTAACAAAGTTACATCATGTCAAAGTTGACCATTTTGTATGGAAATCGGCATGCGCTGCTATTATATTGAACACAACTGTAGATACAGCCATTTAAAAAAGCAAGTTTAGAAATGTTGGACAGGCCTGCTCTAGACTATGTCATAGCACTTTGCAGTTCATTCACTTGCAGCTAACATTTCAATACTCACGGAAACCACATCGAGACAAACATCTTTTATCTACACCCGTTTGCGGTTTTCTCACATCATAAGCGAATACATAAATAGTCTCGTTCCTCAATTTAGTAATCAGTCAATATCTGTTGTTCGCGATGGCATCCAATAATACTAAATTTCACGGGCTACTTCAGCGGCCGTACGAGCCCATGTTCCTACCCAAATCCAACGGGCAAGTCTATTTCGATCTTCCCGACAGCTATTTGACCGATCGTTACCGCCCAATTGGACAATCGCTTCAGAGTCGTTTTGGTGCCAACGTGCAAACTCGGATCCCGGTGCAGAACATTTCCGCTCCAGATATTAGTTTTGCCCAAACGATTCCCCGTCGAGGGGGATTTTCCGTGTTCAATCAAAGTCACCGTCAAGCTGCCGGAAGATTGATCGAATTGTTCCAAAATCAAAGTGATGCCGATACACTGTGTGCAGTGGCAGCCTTTTGCAGAGATAGACTGAATGGACCGCTTTTTCAGTATGCCTTATCAGTGGCCTTGCAGCACCGCTCGGATACCGCCAACGTACCGGTGCCAAGTTTTCTTGAACTGTTTCCGGACAGGTTTGTCGAGGCGTCAACTTTTCCGCAGTTGCAAGAGGAAGGAAGAATCGTTAACCAGGGCGACAGGGTGAGTGCGACACAGTGGAAAAAGTGAGATAGATAAGAAAAATAATGCCCCACCCACAGATGGCCATCGATATTCCGATGAATTTTACCGCATCCGACCGAGAACTAGAACAGAGAATGGCTTATTGGCGCGAAGACATCGGTGTTAACCTGCACCATTGGCACTGGCACTTGGTGTACCCTGCCGAAGGACCGGACAACGTCGTCCGTAAGGATCGTAGAGGCGAACTTTTCTATTACATGCATCAACAAACGGTAGCGCGGTATAACATGGAGCGATTTTGTAACGGTTTACGCAGAGTTCGACCCTTCACTAATCTTCGAGAACCCATTCCGGAAGCGTATTACCCGAAAATTACCCAGAGCTCTATTAACCGTTCTTATCCCGGTCGTGGACGGAACCAACTGTTAACTGTGAGTTTAGACGGTAAACTGAGATTAACATACAAAACTAATATCTAACATAATAAATCCCACAGGATTTGAACCGTGTTGAAGATCAAGTGATCGTATCGATCGCTGACATGGAACTGTGGACTAGCAGAATATTTGAAGCAATCGATGCAGGTTCTGCTACTGCAGTAAGTATCATGCGATTGATTCTGCTGACACACGAACTGCAACCAAATTTTTCAGACCGATGGCCGAAAAATTCCACTCGATAACAAAGAAGGAATCGATGTTCTAGGAAATATGGTGGAAAATTCAACCCTTTCACCCAATGTCAACTACTACGGAAGACTGCACAATGAAGGTCACAACATGCTTGCCTACATACACGATCCAGACAACTCGTTTTTGGAAGGCTTCGGTGTAATTGGAGACAACACAACGGCTATGCGTGACCCCGTCTTCTATCGCTGGCATCAGCATATTGATGATGTCTTCCAACGCCACAAGCGTCGCTTCAAGCCATACAGCAAAGATGATGTGCGAAATTACGTTCATTTATTCAAATGCAGTACTAAATTGACCATTTTTCATCACAGCTGTCATATTCGGATATTGAAGTTGATTCCTTCAACGTTCAACTCAATCGTGCAGGAGCAAAGAACAACATTTTACTCACGTTCTGGCAGAGATCTCAAGTAGATCTTGGTACAGGACTTGATTTTGGACCAGAAGGAAACGTGTTTGCCACATTTACTCACATTCAGCATGCACCTTTTACGTATAGAATTCAGATAAAGAACGATAGTGAAGCTACCAAACGTGGCACAGTTAGACTTTTCCTGGGTCCTAAGAATGACGAGACTGGAAAAAATATTCCTTTCATTGACCAACGTCGTTGGATGATTGAATTGGATACCTTTACCGTAAATTGTGAGATTCGATTGAAAACTAAAAAAAGTGTCCTTAATATAAACTGAATGCAATCATTTCAGTGAACCCAGGGGAAAACAACATTGTGCGTCGATCGGATCAATCAAGTGTCACCATTCCGTATGAGCGTACGTTCCGCAACGTTACCATGTCCACTCAGCCGAACAGCGATCAATTTAGGTTCTGTAACTGCGGCTGGCCTTCGCATATGTTGCTACCGAAGGGAACTCCACAAGGACAGCAGTATGATCTGTTCGTCATGGTGTCAAACTACAACAATGATACGGTGAACCAGGAGTATAACGAGTAAGTACCAAAAAAAGCATATCTACAAACCTTTTTTTAAATCTCTAAACCTAGGTAATTGCATCTAAGAAAAGCGCTTTCAGAAATTATGGCATTCGAAATACGTATCTGCTATATTCGAAATACGGAGCTACGTTATGCAGCTCATACACACTGCAACCTGGTTGTCAACAAGATTCTTCGACTGGCTATCGGATCTCCTTTCAATCAGTTCGCCAACGGACAAACATTTCACAACTACGCCGCCCACAATCCAATCTGTTGTTCGACTTGTACGTCAACATGTTGGCCAACCCATTTAAAATACACGCGGTGTTGACGCGACTTCCCTATACACACTGCAACCAAATTGCAACCAAATTTTACTTCAACCAATTCACCAACTCAGTGTCAACATTTCAAAGGGGCGTAATTGTATTTGTAAACAATGACTTTAGCCGTCGATTTCTCGTGAATTAAAACTTACTCATGAAGATTAATGACACAAGCAGGTAGATGAATGTTTCCTTTACCAGCTGGCATTGTTAATTTGGAGGGATGGACTTTTATTTGCGAGAAATCGATAGCTAAAGCCATTGTTTACAAAAGCAATTACGCCCCTTTGAAATGTTGGCACTGAACTGTCATTTTTGTCTTGCAACCACAATACAATCTTGTCTTTCAACACGATACAATCGAGCTAGAGTCGGTGTGTAATGAGTCACGCCAAGAGTGAAGCCAAGTCTATTGAACTGTCAAACCGGCTACCTATCTTGCAAAGTAAACAAACATTACGATGCTATGAAAGGTCCACGAAAGGTATTGCAATAAAATATAAGATATAATTGAAGAAATGATCATAAACACGCAGTGAGCATTAAATTGTCATGGGATACGTTTGGTAATGATCAGTAATGAGAATTTCTACTATTTTTTGATAAGATAATTTGACAAAATCACTAATATAATGGTTCACTACAACCGCTATTTTTTTTTTCTCGCTAGAAGTCATTTGAAGTTGATGTAGAAGTCCTCTGTTGCCAAGTGAAAAGAAAGGTAATCTTTCGAAAACCGTGATGCGAGTTCAACTGTTTTTCTCTTGACGTGACTCATTATACACCGACTCTAAATCGAGCATCAACGTAACCTGGTTGTCAACCAAATTCCAGTGTGTACAATTAAATTTGAATTTTAAATGTCAATGCGATTGGGGAGCAAAAATAGTCCTGGTACACGGATAGAAATCTCCTTATACCTTTTGGCAAATTTCTATTGCTGATTATTCATAAAATGTATAAGTCAACTAATAAGCAGACGCCTTGCAAAAAGTTAATGAAGATCATGTGTCAAATGAAATGCATAAGCGGTCACATATACCTTTTATGCATTCTTATAGGACATATGCGGTTCATCTTGTGGAATGTATAAGGCTGATGTTTTGGCAAAAATGTATAAGTGAAACACATGAATAAAATAATTGATTTTCGTTTCGTGTACCTAGGCGTCATAGTGAGGGTATGCTGCTCCATTGGCAAACCTTGTAAATAACGCCCCTTGGCTACACAGTTAAAAATATTATGTAGTTTTAAATTCCAATTAGGATTGGGCGATCTTCAGAGAAAGATCGATCTTGATGGATCGATCTTATATTTGGCTCTAGAATCGATCCTCTGATTAAATAGGTACCAAAGAATCGATCTTTGGTAGATCGATCTTTTGATTTTTTTAATACGCTTGTTACGTTGGTACCCGTTGGCACGTTGGAAATTATTTCCTTTATAATATTCAATTAAATCAACGGCTAGAAATTTTTCTTTGAATAAAATGCGCGCAGACCAACGAGCAAACAAAAGCAGAGGGAATGAACGTCACACTTGTTCACTGTCAATGTGTTTGACAATTAAGTTCGGTAATATTTTTTTTCCTTTTTTGTGTAGTTTGGAATCATTAATGATTAATCAATCAAAATGTATTATTTTGTTTCTCCGTGTATATAAAATGTGTTGGCAAAGAGCAATGAGCACAGGAGGGAGGTACCGCAAACTAAAGAGACCGAATTGGGTAAAGAGTCGACACCTTATTCATTTGACAAGTCTTCTGCTCGATTGGAATAACTTTTCCTATGACTTTGACAGATAATCGATTGTACCAATTTTGACTTGTAGTCTCTTTATAAATTCAGACTATTTAGCGCAAACCTTTCAAATGTTGCTGTTTTCGTGTAAATACACTTAAGAAATTTAACACTTTCTTTTTAGAAGATCGAAAAGATCGAAAGAAAAAATCAATTTTTTCGATCTTTTTGTCGACAAAGAATCGATCCGAAAAATCGGAAATCGGGATGAAAAAGATCGATCTTCCAAAGAGCGATCCAAGATCGCGCAATCTTATTTCCAATCTGGAGCCCGTTTTTAAACATAACATAACTCGTTTAACAATCTGTTAATCGAATCTGATACAAAAAATTGCGTCTTTCAAAGAAGGGTATATTTATGACTTATTTTTCATTATTTCATTCAACAATACCGTGCAGGCAGGCACCATGCTTTGCGCAGTTGCAATATTTTTCATACGTGGACCCTTACCACTGGAGAGGAGGCTTGGTTGGCGGTGCTGGGGAGGAGCTGGCTAGCTTCCTCTAAGAGGGCTACTCCTACACTTGATCCAGCAGTCTTCTCTAAAAACCTAACGGCTCGGCGACAGATAGTCAGCGTGATTAATCTGTCGAAGGAACACACTAATCGAGTCAGTACGGTTTTACCGAGTTTTTGAATTGCGGAACTGTTCGGTAAAAGTTTAAAAATCTGTGGAAAATTTATTAATGAGAAAATTTGTTCTGAACTTGTACATACTTAGTTCTGTTAACCCCATTTAATGATAGAAAATAAAATTGATCGATTTCATTGATTCCTTACGGATAACGGTCATTTGAATTTTTACCGACTTTTTCAGCAATTCAAAAACCCAGTAAAAAAATACTGACTCCTGTAAAAAAATCTTAGTGTGAAGGGATTGAAGAGGTCGATTATTGGGGGGTTTTGAGGAAATGACACATAGTACTAGATTTGTGCTGCAAAATGTAAAGAAACCGAAAATCCATATCCCACTGATTCATCCTTTCACATATATACCAAATTTTTATTTTAAAGCAACCATCAAAATAAACAGACAATATATGAAAAGGCTAGTTTTTTCCTATCCTTTATTTACGTTGGTCTCTGTTCCGCAATCTAGTGCCAATCACCAACGGACATTGATTGCCATCCATTGACGGCAATCGAATGTGCAGGAAGGCAGCTTCCACACCTGCGTAGGATATCGTACCCATTCAACACACATGGGCCGGACCAACGGCTTTACTTCCCTTCCGAAGGAAGACGTGACCAGAGATTTTTATGCCTCAGAAAAATCCCACCGACCTCGGCTGGGATTGAACCCAGACCAACTGGGGTGTTAGAAAGCAGTCACGCTTACCACTACACCACCGGCGCTGGCCCGATTGAAAAGGCTAGTTGCCAGTTGCTTTAAATGCTATATGTCTTCCTAATCGGACCCCCGCATCCTAACTCTTTTGTTAATCTACTTCATGTTATTAAACTGTCTAAATTTTCTTATTTAAGTTCGTTTGATGATTATGATATCTCATTAGCCTAATTTAATAAATAATTGAAATCTATAATCTACCTCATCAATTATAACCCATGCTTTATTAAATACATGCACTTGTGCATGCAATCTTAATTTTTTTTTTAATTATATAGGGTATATGCTCCAACTACGCTCACACGTTTCCACTATGTCGTCCAACAAAATTACGTATGGATATGTCAAAAGAAGCACGCCATAGTGGAACTCTCGAGCCATAGTTCAAACACTTATCCCAAACCAAAATGAAGCATACACATGTGTTAAACATAATATTTAGCAGCGCACGTCGACTTCCACACAAAATGGGCAACCCCGACAAGCAGCAACTCTGCTCTCCCAAGATCAATTAAGCCGAAACGTTCGCCACAAAACCAAAAATATGCTCAACTCCACGACCACAAAACACCAAACCCCTGAAGGCACCTGTCGGAAAGTGAGACACCAAGCAAAATTGTTCAAAATAATAGCAGTATTAATAATTTGCATTTCAGCTCAATTTTGAGATTTTAGATTTTACATTTCTCAAAATTCTAACAATCCAACGTCAGTGCCTGTACGTAAGCGTACTACGACGCGGCTCTTAAAAAAGGAGTAACAGATGTGATAATATCACTTCAGGCTAGAACTTTGGTTCTCTCAAGCAATGGTTCATCAAAGAGGTAAGCTCAGTAATCCTAATAGCATGCTCATGGCGCTATTCGCCACGGCAAGAGCCAACGATGCCGGACCTAAACCAACCGTCTCCAACACTCCACTATGAAGCATAAGATTAGACCCGCCCACCAACGCGCAGGTTAAAAACTAGCCAAAGGGAGGGAATTAAATTGTGGGTGTCATTTGAATATATATCCTACGGATCATGGGATGGTACTCCAGAAGATCCAGAACAACCCTAAAGTTGGTAAATGAATGGAATGTGTTGGCATAGTGAGATATAGAAAGAAAATCTCTAGGATAAAGACAAATTTCAAGATTGTTTAAAACTTGTCTTTGATCAACTAGCAGTTGACCAGTAACGCTGGTAGATCACCTTTTCGCGGTGCGTTACTTGTATAAGATCTACCACATCGAACTCTGGCCGTAAGATCTTCTTGTTGACGGTTATGAGCCTCAGTTTTGGGATTGGAAACAAGAAAAGATTCGGGCCAAGGTTCTGCTGCATGGTCAGTAACATAGCTTGTTTTTGTCACTAAGAAGACCTGATGAGAAGGCGCGTATTTGGAGAGGTCCCAGAATTTTTCAAATTATACAGACCATCACAGTTGATTCATGTAAGACCTATTTTGGTTGATAAGAGGGCGCGTCATTGGAAAGGTTACAGAACGCTTCGAATGATTTGGAACTCACAATTGAATGAGGCTTCTTGTGACAATGACTTATCTGTATCGAAAACGAATACCTCATTACTTTTCCATGCATGCATTAAGTAAGTCACGCGAAATTTAGGAAGAATCACCCCTTCCTCTCTTCCCCCTTACGTTACGTTTTTCCTATACCTAATGCATTGCTTTTCACAGATTTGTAAACCCTCACGGAGAAAAAATACTACCCAAAATTTTAGTTCTTTTTACTTAATATTGACTTCAGTCTCTCACTTGCACTCGTTATTGTTGTCAAAAAAGGAACAAGAGATTCGACCCAACGATATAGGTAGTTCAGTTACTTTTAAGTAAAATGCATATTTTCAAATTTACGCGAATTAAACTTAATTTTGGGTAGAATATACTTAAGAGTAGGTATTTTTTTTTTGCTGGTGTTAAATGGAAACTATTAAATGCGATTTACTCAAATTTGGGTTATTGGGCTGAACCCCGGAATTGAGGGAAAAGTACTTAATTTTTGGGGCTCCCTACTCCCTTAGATCCTGACGTATCAAAACTACAGGACGGTTTATTTAGAAGTTCAATTTTTTAGTTACATGTTACTCGGCCAGTTACTTGTTTGAAAGTTAATATTCGCACTATTGTGGATAATATAAGTTAATAATGTGCTCAATATAAGTAATATGATCAGACAAGAAAGTAAAAGAGCTATTCTAGGATGGGAAACATTTCTTATTGTAATGTTCCATGCGATTAGTATTGAACCAAACAAAATTCACAAAGTTTGGACCACGTCTAAGATCTAGGATTGTCACTTGCAAATCTTTGCTTCTTACGATGTAAATAATATTCACATCCCAGCAAACAACCGACGCCAGGGAGGCAGCTCCCACATCTTTTTTTTTATTGTTCTTTATTAAGGAGATTTTTAGCCTATGGCTAGTTCATCTCCGGAAAGAGCTCCCACACCTGGACCCTACCTATCGACCCATCAACTCATGAACCGGGGACCAACGGTTTTACAGAACATCCCGGCGGCGCCGACTGGGATTGAACCCAGACCTGAGGTAATCACGCTTACCACTACACCACCGGCGCCGCTAGCTGCAGGACTTAGATAGGCAAAAATTGAATTAGGTGCCAAAGCCATTTTTTTCATATATAAACTATCCTTCAGTTAAAATTGTTAGCAGGGATAGCTAAATATTCTTCACGCCGATGCACGCCGCCGCCGCTGAAAGTGGCGCTCGGCGTGACGCTGCAAAAGCAAACATTACCCTTGGCGCTCTACTTGAACAGCGTTTGTAAGAGTACGTTACACTGATTACGATGATAACGGAGTTTACCTATTGTAGCAAGATGAGACTGAAGGTGTGAATACGTGCCAGTTTTGAACAAATCTGAGTGCCCAGACAACCTTGATTCCAGGGGAGAGATAGTGAAGTGCTGTTCGATGAATTCGAAGGAAACATCGGTATTGATGACGACTGAGAATCGACTTATCGAACAAGGAAGAAAGGAAGGATTCCTTGTAAAATTTTGTGAACGGGGTTCAAACTCATTACATTCCAATGCTATTATAATGTGAACCATCGGTGGTAATTAGAGTACACCCTAATCTTGTTTTTAGCGCTCATCGACAAGTCGTTGCAACAACAGCTTCATAGGAACTCAAGCACTTGTTTTGTCAAAATTATTGTGTAGATACGCCATCTAAATGTTAAACTTAACTTGGTTCCTTCTTTCCCTCTTTCAGAAATACACCATGTGATGACTCTCACTCTTTCTGTGGCCTACGCGACCGGCTCTATCCCGATGCACGCAACATGGGCTTCCCGTTCGACCGTGTAACTTCATCTAACGTGAACAGTTTGAAGGACTTTGTCAAACCTTATAAGAACATGGCTACCACACCGATCCAAATTCGGTTCACCAATACCGTAATTGCCAGATCTTGAAAGGGATTTCTTTCCTATTCTACGCTGAGACATTTACGCGCAGTTGATTGGTTCAGAATAATTTATAACGCATATTGGAATACTCGTTTGGAATATATAAATAAACTATTAATTGGCAAACAAATATTCACTTTTAAATATTAATTTTTATTCATAGGGATTCGTCTCGAAAATTTGGCATGATTCTACTCGATAGCGACAGCATAATACTTATTGATAGCGAAGCAGTCTCTCTAGATAATCACTGATTGCAATTAAAGTGCACGTTTCAAACCTATTCTAAGTGATGCAGCTATGTTTTAGTAGAACGTTAACATTGAGATCATCATATATTTAATGCATTGCGCATAACGAAATCATTTAGAGCGACAAATCATCATCAGGCTCCAGGCAGCTAAATAAATCCTGCAGCTGATCGTCTCGCCTCTTACTGACAATAAATGTTGACGGTTTATTGTCCTTTGGCTTCGTCTATAGAAACGACTCATTTCAAGCACACTGTTTCAAGGATAATTAAATTTCCACTTACCGTGAAAGTAGTGGAACAACTGGTTTTGGTGGCAGACTCTGGCTCCATGAACATGTCACTTTTTATCGATTCGGAAACTGAAGTCGTTCCATCGTTGCTGGCCTTGCTGCGCAGTTGCTCCAGAGTCCAATAGTTTTTATCAATGGCGTCCACATCGGTATCTTCATCTTCGCAATAATTTTCGTCGGCATTTATTTCGTCTAAATTCAAATCTTCAGCTTCGTCATCCTCCAGAACTGGAAATAAAAAGGTTTATATATATATATGCTCGTCTAATGGAGTAAAAAGTTAAAACTTACAATCTTCAATATCGTCCGATTCTTCCTCTTCAAAATCATGTTCCGGAATGTCTGGTGGTTCACTTTTAACCCTAGGCCGGAGACCCATCTCATCCTTGACGATATCATCATCCAAAATATCCGTTCTGATGGTATTCAAAGTATCTGAAATGAACATTTTAGTTAGGCAACGCAGCAATCTCCAAGTTTTTTTTTTAAGTACCAGAATGGTGAATCTCCAGCTTATGTTGTTGCTGATCAGTGCGAAAATTGCGTGCGGGTTTCTGCTCTACCGAGACAAATAACTGTCCCAATCCTTTCTGCCTCTTGGGCGTTTTAGGAGTATTCGTATCCTCGGGCATAGCAATTGGCGCATTATGGCGCCGGAAGCGCACAATAATATTCTTTCCGTCGATAACCTTGTTAAAATTTGCTTTAAATGCTGCGATAGAATCATTGACATTGTGGAACCGGATGAAGGCGTACCGTGTGTGCTTCATACGCTGCGCGTGACCTATATCGATACGTCTCGCCGTTGGAAACATTTGCTTCACAGTGTAAACGGTCACAGCATTCGGTAGATTTCCAATGAACAGCGTCTGCGGATCGATTTCCTCCGGTTTCAACTGAAAAAAGACACGTGAACACTATATTCCAACTGCATCCGCATATGCATATGTACTGCAAAAGTTAGTAATAGGTACATAGGTAAACATGAAACTTCAAGATGTAATTTGGCAACAGTCCCAAATACCAAAAACAAAAATTTGGCATATTGTCCACTCTTCCCTCGCATCCGCTATCTACCACCATGTTTTCTCACACATAAATGTCGGTATAGATACAGGTTGCGCAAAGACTATAATTCATAAATTAGGTTATTTACATCCGGTCACAGGAAACTAAATAAAACACATCGCATAATTCACACAAAAATTCACCGGTAGTGTTTTATCCCACAAACAACACATCCAACACTGCCGTAGGGCATATCCTAAGCAAATAAATAATAAATAACACCAGCTCACCGTTGGCTTCGGTTCAACATTCTTCGTCTTCCGTTCAACGGAAAGATTCCCAGCGCCGAAGGATATCTTTGATAGCTGCTGAATCACTCGGTCCACATCAGCATCCGGCTGCAAGTGCACCAAACAGTATCTAGAAGGCGAAAGAGGAGAGAACAATAATTTAAATAATCCCGCCCAGCTCACACGGTCGCACGTGGTACACTATGTCAAAATATGCAAATTTACCGCGGTGTTGAAGGTCGATGAAAGATAACGTTCTCGATACTGGTCGAATAGCCTTGAACGATTTCCTTGTTTAGTTCCGGATCGGGAAAACGCAATACCAACACATTGGGCGATTTAAGCAGTTCAATGGCCTTTACTTCGACCAGTAAGGCCTTGGCTGCATCACTTCTGTTCCAGTTCATCTGACGAGCTGACGGGGCTGATGGCAATGTGCTCGATTTGGCCACTGGTGCAAACGTGCTCAAAGATTGCGGTTGCGGTTGCTGCTGTTGCGTTGCGGGTGATGCCAGATGATGCGACTGCTGTCGGCGATGGTCCACGCTCGACTGCTGCTGCTGCTGCTGCAAGTCATCAACTGGGTCGTGGGACGATGGGTCAAAGTCGAAAGACCTAAAAATAATTTCCGGTGTATATTGATTTGCCATTATGAAGCGAAATTTAACAGAGACATATCCCTGGCGGCGGGATGAAATCTGCGTGTAAGCCAAAAAAGCTAACCGGATAACCAGGAGAGATGAAAAGAGAGCCAATAGAAATGTACGAGCATTCGGTGTACATGATGAAGTTTTGGCTAAGTCTACAACTTGCATTTCGGATGTATATAGACTAGGTCGGTATATGAACTTGAAACTGGTCGTGATAGCATGGAAGAAAATCTTTCGTTGCGGGTGATTCTTAGATCACGTAAAAGTTTGTATAGAATGTCTTCTTCTTCTTCTTAGCATTTCAAGCCTATTGCTATTTTTTTTTTACTCAAGCTATATGTACCCATTTAATTAAATTATGACGTAGGGGAATGTTGGTAACAGTGAGGATGATTTTTTTAACGACAACGACTGTTTTACCTAACTCTAAATCCAGCCTACATTGACTACGTGTATCTCCTTCGTGACTCATGACCCTCTCATGACTCATGAGTAAATTTACTAATAAACAAAGGTGAATTTTACGAAAAATGAAACACCCCCGTATTCTACGAGTCACCTCTCTTACCGGTGAGGTGACAATTTTCACGTCGTGTGAGGCGACTCTTCGTTTGAATTGCACGGAGAGTCACCTCCAGGGCTGATAAATGTCATTTTCAATGAAAGATCTTACGCGACTTTTACAGAGATACTTCTGTCACTATCACTGGATGAGAAAACGACGATAGAGATTTTCAAAATCCCATCGATTTGTTTTTGTCATGACAGAACGTGACAGTTTTGTGAACATCGCAATACCTAGCTCATTTATTGAAATTATTGTTAATTGTATCGCGGAAATATATTCACTCTACCGATTACATACTTTTGATTGCCTAAATTCATCTAAATCAGGTAGAAATTTTGATGCCATGAGTGTTTCATTATTGAGGAATGACAAGAAAGCTCATGATAGGTAGTTTCGTCTCGTGATAGTCAGAGGACCTTGTTTTCTCGTAGTCGCATGACGGTATTGATATTTACCAGCTCTGGTCACCTCACACGAGGTGACAATTGTCACCTAACCCTTGACAGAGAGTCACATGACTCGCAGAATAAGGGGGATAGTTTCAATTATGCAGGCTTGCATGTTGGAAAACTTCATGATTTTATTTTTAACCTTCTTTGGGTGTTAACATTTTGTAACGAATAAGGTTTGAACAGGTCATATTGACCCGGACTTCAAACTGTGTTTGGATAAGGTTTTCGAAATCAAATATATATGTTTTTACAGTCAAAATGTTTGCCAGAGCCTGAATTTTGAGTTTCTGGAAGATAGAACCGATTTTGACGCGGTTGGCATTGAAGTCAGGTTTGGCCGCAGTGCCGGTATGTGGGCATCTGATTAAATATAATAAATTCTGTTGGAAATGGAAGCTAGATGCATCAAACTAGCTAAACTAATTTCTTACTGAGGACAATTGATGGTTTCTTGCTTCATGTGACCTAACCCGGATGTTCCGGATACCGGTTCTGGTGGACACAATCAACTTGCTCAAGAAAATGGGCAAGCGACACAACAAAGCACATCAAAATGATGCATATGAAACGATTCTTTTAATATTTTGCCAATATTTTGGTTACTGTTGGCCAGTGGCCAAGCCCTGATATTCCAGATACCGGTTTCGGTGGCCACAATCAACTTTCTCATAAAAATTATCATGCGACACAACAAAAACGTCAAATTGATGCGTATGAAACGATTCATCGAACATGCCAATATTATGGTTACTTGTGACCAGTTACCTAGCCGAGATGTTCCGGATACCGGTTCCAGTGGCTACAATCTCAATTTCTCATAAAAATGGTAATGTGACACATCAAATCATATCAAATTGATGTGAATGAAGCGATTATTTGCACATTTTCCCAATATTCTGGTTACTAATAGTGGCCAGTGACCAAACCCGGATGTTCCGGATGCCAGTTCCGGTGGCAACAATCAACTTTCTAATAAAAATGAGAATGCAAAACATCAAAATTGATGTGTATGAAGCGAATGCCTTATATTTTTCCTGGTTACTCGTGGCCAATGACCTACCAGATGTTCCGGATACCAGTTCCGGTGGCCAAAATCATCTTTTTCATAAGAATGGGCAAGCTACATATTAATGTGTATGAAACGATTCTTTGAATATTTTTTCATTAGTCTGGTGATTATTGGCCTAGCCCGGTCGTTCTGGATTACAGTTCTGGAGAGCACAATGGACTTTAACTTTAAAAAAATGTCATGCTACACATCAAAACACATCGAAATGATGCATATAGTCGTTTCTGTGAATATAATGCAATATTTTGAATACCTGATCCCAAGTCGCACAGTGGGTAATGCACGCACCGCAATTTATCGGCTATCCTTCAACCAATTGAGCTGATTTTCAGAAAGTGACTAGTGCAATAACACCAATAACACTATCGGAATCCAGTGGCACATCTAAGGGGATATAGAATAACTGGAGAGAAGGTTATAGGGTGAGTGGACGCGAGGCTAGCGTAACGGGATATGCTCTTTTACGAACCTTATTTCGATTTTTTTTTATTTGATGCTATTTTACGTCATGATAAAATTATGTTGAAAGAACATTTTTAGGGTTCATTCATTACACTTTAGGGCACAGTACTACTTCTGCATATGGGACACATTTCCGTCGTCGATATTAAAAACAATGAATACAAACAGCTTACATTCAACATTGTTGCATCAAATGCTTTGTTCACGAAATTGTACACGGCTGTCAGAAGACTGATTTAAGGGGGTTGTGCTGAAGTGAAGTGAGTTATGCTGAAATGCGGTCCCTATTCTGCGAGTCGTGTGACTCTTTTCCACCAGTGAGATGACAAAAGTCACTCGCTAGTGAAGTGACTCTTCGTGCAAATCAAATGGAGAGTAGCCTCACGCGAGTTGACTATTGTCACCAAGTGACAGAGATTCACACGACTCATAGAATAGGCCTGCTCGTACACCTCCGGCATATTGTGCGTAGCGTGTGACGTGAGGTGACAATTGTCGGATGAGGTAACTCTCCGTGCAAATTTTATAGGGAGACACCTCACCCCAGGTGGCAATTGTCACTACACCATCACTTCACTGTCACCTCACGTCACAAGCCGCTAAGGATAAACCAAACCGGGGATATTATCATAGAGGTAACTCTAAGACTAGTAGCTCCAGAAGAAACGTGCTCAACTTTTTGGTTCAGCTCTGGTACTATCTTCGGTCCCAAGCTAATCGATGCACCCCTCGAAACATAGGAAAATCCACGAACCCCTCATTTTATCTGTCAAACTTTCATAGCGAATCAAAACAAACATAGTGTAGTACTAGAATTTCGACTAGAATGGGGTACGTTAATCGATTTGCTTGGGACCAATAGGCTAGTCAAGTAGTGAACCAATTCCACCGGTTGATATTACTCAATACTCTCGTCTCCAACTATACGACTATATAAATATTTTGCAACTAACCCTCTTATTCATTTGCAACATGTTTGCTTAAGATATTGCTGAGATACCCTCCATCTAAGAGGTAAGAAAAGCCGCAATATCATACACGAAACGAAAATCAATTATTTTATTCATATGTTACACGTATACATTTTTGACAAAACATATAATGCATAAAAGCTATGTATTTCATTTGACATATGATCTTCATTAACTTTTTGCAAGGTGTCTGCTTATTAGTGACTTATACATTTTATGAATAATCAGCAATAGAAATTTGCCAAAAGGTATAAGTAGATTTCTATTCGTGTACCCCTTACTTCATTCGTAATTTTGTCACGGCACAATCTGGTTCAATGCTTAAGGGTTCTTCAAAAAGTTAAAAAGATGGCATGGCCAATTAAGACTTTCGAGATGTATGCAATACCACTAACAAGTAATAGATAAAAAAATCATTTCAGGGCTGGACATAAATTACGCATGAAGTTTAGAAGAGTGAAGGGCAACTAATCTACAAAATTTCTAAACTTCAAACATTTTTTTAAATTGTTTGTGTATTTAATTAATGTTTAAAATCTAGGCAAAACGTTATACGTGGTTTATAAACAGCTCCCAACGTTTTTATATCGCTGAAAGCGGTTTTAACAATTATTCAGACAAGCATGGAATGATTTTTCCGTGACGGCATTCTGAAATGCAACCCACGGAATCAGACTCAAGCATAAAAATCAGTGTCTTGTCCTGTCAGTGCATGGATATTGTAATTCACTTTATATGCATGTGTCAATTCAAATATACAGTGATGTGATGTGATGTGAATGGAACCCACCATCAGTGCAAGGATTACCAATGTCTGCAGATACTTTACCGGTTGTAAAGTTCTGCCTGATGGTTTGTTGCAGCAGGGTGAATCAGCTTAATTGGGTTCTTTAAGGGTATTGAGGTAAATGCATATTCGTAATCTGCATTAAAAATGGAACCCAAACCCAAAATTTCATCAATTTTGGTACACTGGAACTATTTTAAATAAGTACGATTACATTTGCAAAAATCACCTTATTAGCGCCCCTCGGTGTCACTTTGTATGGGAGCGAGCTGTCAGTTTGTTAGTTTAGTGTCAAACAGTGAAGTTATTATTTTGCTTTAAATCTTGATTTAAAAATCGAGATGAAAGTGTGTGGGTTCGAAAAAAAATATCGCTGTGCTCCGAAAACGAAGCTCTTTCAGATGATGTATAAAAAACGAAACATTTTTCAAAATTAAAGAACCCAATTGAAGACCTTTGGATGATAAAACGACCAGATGGCCATATGTAATCACGTGACAAGGGACTGGCAAATCCACGAACCCTCGTCCAGTCAACAAATCCTTTGATTCCCTTAGGCTGACCTCCCCGCCCCCAGGATATAATATAATGTTTTAATATGTATGAATTACAGTAATGTTCCACCACATGTTCAAAAATGTTCAGACATTTGGCGT